CTTATAAAAGCCCAGACCATAGGGGTAAATAATAAGTCCATGTATTCAAATCGATCCATTCCATAGTCCACACCAATTTTCTGTAAAGTCCCTAGACTACATTAACCATTTTTTTAACCAAAATTTTTTAACCAAAATTAAGTATTCCGATTTCACGATAGATATAAGACCTTCTGCTAAAAATCCTCATTTACCGTTTCCAAAGATTTTGAAGGTCATGGCCCTACTTTTTTTTTAAAAAAATACATATATAATAATTTTACATATAGAAATAACCGTAAAGTCAAATTTTGTTTAATTCCAAAGTAACGGTTGAAAATGATTACTGATAATGAGAAGGGAAAAATTAGTGCGGTCCGGTCTGCATTTCTCCTTCCTTCTGCTTTTAGCAAATATCTCCAGCTTACATCCACTAATCGCCCCTTAAGTTCCTATCATTGACGTGTGTGTGGGCAGACTAACACATATACAATACCAGACATTTTATTATCATGGGCTTCGATTTAATTCTTCTGTTCACAACAAATATTTTCAGTTTATTCTTTCAAATTCAAATAACTTTTGACTACTACTCGTATGAACTTGATTAATACCCGACTGACTTGTTGGTATCATTCATATGTGTGGAGTGTCAATGTTAAATATTCCAACAAAATAAAAAAAAATATTTCATTCAATATTTTCTGTCATACGGCATTTTCGAAGAAATAATCAATTTACTTGCAAAAATTCCAATCATTCAGGGTCAGAATATGGTTTTGTCTTTGGCTCTTGATTATTTATAAAACGTTTGTTGAGAGCGACGTGAATGAGTGGGTGTGCGTTAGACCACATCATATTTTCCAATGAATATATTCATTTTTCAAAATAACAGTTTAATGTGTCAATGTGTAAACATTCAAAATAATTGAACATTATTTAAGTTAAATAGAAACGATTACAGTCGTGATTGAACATAACCGCAAAGCTATGTGTTTAAAACCACAAAAGAGTTCCTGGAATTAATATCCAGTAAATGCACAACAACAGTAACGACATTTTCTATTGATAAGTGATTTTTCAATTTATAACAATTTGGATCCGTATGTAAATATTTAGATTTATTTAAATGGAGCAATTTTCACAATTGGAATCGTACATTAAATCTGATAATCGGAATGATAATAATACAAGAAGAAATATTAAGAAATATTTTTCATATAAATCTTTACTCTTATAGCGATATTTTTTATAACATTTTTCACCGAAGTGGTTGTAATTTTGTTTCCCATCTTTGCAGAAAGTATGCAACATTGGTCCATAGGCCTTCAGATTATCATTCCTTTCCAGAGCATACAACAGACTTTATACTGACATAAGGGTATATCGTATTATGGGATATGTAGCGTGAATCATCCCTCTTTTCAACCTAACTCAGCCATAGATCCATGTTTTCACATAGTCCTCAATTCCGTATTCTTGGAAGGAGAAAAAACTATATTGCAAAAAAAAACAGATCATTTAAAATTTGGGGCTCGGATGAGACAATTTCCCAATCCAACGAAGTGTTTTTGAAGAGTGTTATATCTGAGGAGATTACTTTCATATTTTGATAAAACGTCGCATTATACCCACACAGAATACCGAATTGTAGTGAAATAATTTGAACACCTCTCGTATATATCCAAAGTTATGTAGGTTGCCATATAATTGACTCCGTCCGATACTGAATTTATATATATATATATATATATATATAACCAACGAACATAATTTAGAAAAATATCACTTTCGTAGACATAAATTTATGTTTTAACATTTCAAAAAAAAAAATCGTAAAATATTTATTACTCATGTTCAAATCAGCCAGCGATCTAAACACAAAACCATTTTATTGACTGACAATTGGGATTGGAAATGTCAACTAATAATCAACTAATATTTGGCAGCACAGGTTTCATAGATTTTAGTATTTATAAATTATGAATTTTTATTGGTCTTCTGGAAATGTGCGCAAGTGAAAACCGGGTTGTCGACGAATAGAAATGCAAAATATCATAATTTTTAAATGTCAATACAACATAGAAGGAATTAAAAAAAAAACAAGTTATAGTATTTTATTTAAATGGCGGAAAAATACATGGAATTCGGATATAAGTGAAAGTATTATTAATTTTTGAATAATTTAATTTTATTTGGAAATAGAGCACATATGTATGTTGACGTTAGAAATTCGAATTCTGCCGTTTATAAATGCATTGTGCTAATAACAAATTTGAATATGGTATTTTAAATTGTCCTCGCCACATTCAACACCTACTACTTAGAAAAATTTTTTTAGCATTTATAGAAACGAATCTGTCTATCGACAACGCCCCTTGATATGAGTCAATACATAAATTATGCGAAATATATCGATTTGTCTAAAACTTTGTTTTGTTTTGACCCGAATCACCACACTGAATATTAAAACAAGAAAGTTTGATAAAGCCATGCATACTATGACAAATATGAACAGAACAAAGCTCATTGATTATATTTCATGATGACTTCGAACCTTTCAAAACTTTATAAATTAGCTATAAGCATTGAGGTCAAATTTGAGAATAAAAGAAACTGATATTAGTACCTTTGTCTTGTGGACCTAATATATATGACATCATACAAATGATTTGCAGTATAATAAAGAAATATCTTCTAATTGAGCATTATATGGACATTATTGCCAACTTTTTAACATAACTAAAAGGGGTTAGGTTTACTCCTTATTAATGCGGGATTGGGTAAAGTGTATCATTCAAAATTAAGAGTTTTGCATTAATTAATCTGACTGTGCAAAATTAATATAATAAAGACCTTTAATATTAAGGTATGGAAAGAAGTAGTTTATATTGTACACAATTTAGATGAAATCGGACAGAATTTAGTTCTTGAAGCTCTATTTATATTTGAAACCATTTAATGCAAAGTTGACAATCGTTTTTTAGACTTAATCCAGTAGACTATGTAAAATATCTATTCAATTAGGCATGAGTTGGGTATTTTGTGTACCATTTATATGAAATCAGTTGAAAATGGGATCTGAACCGACATGTATAAAACTAAACACATGTAATATAGAATTCCATCGCCTTTGCTTTCCATTAATTAATATGAAGCTAAGAATCTTGAATATTTTTGGAAATACTGATGTTCAAGAAATCCTGGTAAGAAAGCGGATATTATCGTAAGAATATTTATCGATATTCTACTGTATTTGTTTATACGCTTGGCGCCATCTAGCTATAACATGTCAATCTTATAATTCGTTTGGTTTCTGTCTCTACTACCATACTCCATGCTTAAATAGTGTTTCACAACATTCATCTTTCATATACATTGTATACGAAAATGATACATGTGGAACAAAGATGACGCAGTTGTAAAACGTGACTACATGGTAATAATGTTTTCGATACCGATTTTTCTTGCCGATTAAAAGGCGATAACACAATTGGTCTGTCCCCCTACTGCAAGAATCAATTATTTTTTACTATTTATACTCTACACAATTATGATGTCAGGGTATTATAGCTTTGTGCAGCCCAAAAGTTTGTAACGCCGCGAAATATTGGTCCTAGACCCACCTTTAAGTATACAGATCGTCATATCTCGTTTTTTAGATATCATTAAGGGAAAAATGTTGTTGTAGTGAGAAATTGTACATTGTTGCATACATTATATAGGCCATGGTATACTCAGTAAGGTAGCCTCAGAGGCGAATTTCTACAATAAACATCTATAGTAGTAGAATGATATGTCAACAATATTAGGCAAAAACAAACCGTTTCATAAGATTTTTTACACAAATCCAAAATGTTAATAAAAATATTTCCGAACAAGCTCTTCAAAATTCGTACATTTTCATTTATAATTCTGTTTTCTTTCTTTGAGTCATCGGTCGTCTTATATGTTGTGATATAGGTTTATGTTTTTATAGGTTTTGTATGCTCTCGTATGCATGACATAAGTGGTCCCGCACTGCAAGAATCTGCTACTTTTTACTACGAAAGCAAATTTTCCTTTATGACATTGAAAAGAATTGTAAAAACTAGCAGATTTGTACAGTACGGGAACATACCAAAAAATAAAAGTAGATTAATTTTATGAAATTATTAATAACAGAACTTTACTGTAAAGCCTACTTATGCCTTATTTGTAAGCATATACAACAAATAGTTTTGCTTATTTCAAGAGTTTCAATTAAATCAAAAATGTCGAAAAAAATTCGAATTGAGTATCCAAATTTATCATAACAAAATAAAAAAATTGGGTTTTCCTAAAGTATACGTTTTTTTATTTTAGATAAATTATTTAACAAGGCCTATATAAGGTCGAGTAATAAGCCCATCTGATTATTAATTTTGCTGTCAACGTATACTTTGAAATTTATGAATACATACAAATGGTCTGCTCCCGTACTGCAAGAATCTACTAGTTTTTACTACGATAACGAATTTTCCTTTATGATATCGAAGAAAATAGTAAAATCGAGTAGATTCTTGCAGTACGGGAACAGACCAAAAATGGCATGGCACAATTATAAGTATAAGTAGCAGCAAAACCCAGCTAATCTGAATCCAACGTAATACTCTGGTCAATTGGTTTGTTTCCGTACAGCAAGAGTCTACTAGATTTTGCTACTTTCTTTGATATCATAAAGGGAAATTCGTTATCGTAGTAAAAGTAGCAGGAACATACTCTTTGTTTTACAACAATAATTATTTGTTGTAGTCCATACATACAACTTGATGGATACTATTTTAATTTTCATATACAATATCTTTCCCCTTTATAATTATTTTTATATGATTTGAAATATGTTTTTAAAACAAAAATAGACAGCACACAGTCTAAAGACACCTTGTTTGACAAACATAATCGATAACCCAGTCATCGCACTACACTGCTATCGAAATCGTCACCAGCGTACCATCACTAGCAACACCTTTATTTTTTATTTGTCAATTGAGAGGCAGAAGAAGACGCAGATACAATAACATACCAGAACATTTCTACAAAGGAATGCAAAAAGCATCACATATCGCTCGACAAAATTCCCAGGACCACATAGACCCCGAATTCATACCCTCCGTCAATATGAAGCGCAGAACGTTGTCTGGCAGCTGTGGCGTTGGATTCTTTGTGCTGGCATTCGGTTTCATAGCAATTGCCTTTGCCACACCCAGCTGGCTGGTAAGTGATTATCGTATTACTGGAGCAAAGCTGGAACGTTTGGGCTTGTGGGTGCACTGTTTCCGTTCACTGCCCGATGTGAATGACGATAGTCAGCGTCGTTTCTTTGTTGGCTGCAGATGGGTCTACGATCCATTCACCACGGGCTACGATGAAATACGTGGATTCTTGCTGCCTGGCTTCATGATTGCAACACAATTCTTCTTTACTCTGGCCTTCGTGGGCATGTTGGTGTCAGCTATCGGTGTGTTGGTGTTCTTTTTGTGTGCTGGGCCAGATCAAAAGCATTTCGTTAAGCTGATACGAGCCATTGGATGTACGGTGCTGGGAGCTGGGGTGTGTGCCAGTTTGGCGGTAATTATATTTGCCTCATTGGGTAATCGTAACAATTGGATGCCTGAACATGCCAACAACTGGTTTGGTTGGTCGTTTATTTTGGCGTGTGTGGGAGCAGTAACGGCTCTGGTAGCTGGTACGCTGTTCCTTACCGAGTGCTACGTACAAAAGCGTAAAAGGACATTATTTAAGGAATCGCAGACAAGATTTGAGATGATGCACGGTGGAAAGTAGTGGCAGACAACCAAAAGAAACAAATCAAATGCATACAACATTAAGAAGTCATTTGCATCCCACCCATTTAAAAAGAAAGGCAACCACAACAAAATATGGATCCTCAGGATTTTTTATCTAAAACAGAGGTACCTTAAAATCTTCACATTCCATTTATTCAATACCATATCTAATAACCACAGCTCTTACTACGAGACTACCAACCAATAATTCCATGTATCTGAAGAAAGAAAAACTGACCTCAAACTTCGCCCAGCCCACAACACTACCAGTTGGTACTTATGCTCATTCATATATCTCTACATATTTATTTCATTGCGCCAGTGAAGATAGCATCTCATTACATTCCAGTTAAGACTGATCGTAGAACTTTTGTAACAGCCGCAACATTTTTATACTGTGGTGACCTAAGAGCCAAAACACCGCACTCTCCACTCCACAACAATACGAGCAAAGACAACGAATGAATGTAGCAGACCTTAGTAGTTATATAATTATTGCATGTCGAATTAATCTAATAATCATGCAACAAATCACTTAATTCAAATGATGTTAGGTTGGGGCTCCGCAATGTCGAATGCAGATGAATCATTTGAGCATGGCAGTCAGTGAATAAACGAACGACGACATGAGCCAGCTGGCTGAATTTTACATATTACAATATATCTATACCGTCCAGAACGCAAAACTACTTGCATTTCTTCTCAATATTATCTATTACGAATCTCTAATTATTTTTATTCTCGAATCAACTTGTGTCGAATAGAATGAATGCAACAGCGTTTTTTGTAATAATTGTTTTTATTTTAATGTGCCTTAGATAGTATTGTAAGCATAGTTCGATTATATTTTTGAACCCCTTTATACAAATAACAAAAGAAAAACAAAACGACCACTTAGCTTTGTAAGTACAAAATCCTTGAATCTAATCCATATCTTTATTAGAAGTATACATTCCATTGTAACGACATTCTGCCGAAGATTAGAATACAAACAGCATCCACTGACCTGAAAAGCGTCTATTTTTCTATTCGCAACTGACGTTATACAAGTTGTGCCTTAGATTGTTTTTGCGAAAAATATTTGTTTGTATGTATATAAGTACGTATATGTATTGTATTTTTTATTATTCAAGATTCCGTCCAAGTTTACAAATTTAAATAAACATTTTATTATTCGAAAATTTGCCGTTTCTTTTGTTTACCGCGAAAATTTCTCATGGTTAAGTATTATTCTTTGTTTGTGTGTTGGTTGTTAATGAGGGTTATTAATATTGTGAAAATTTTCGGCGGTGCTAACAATTAGTTCTAAGTGAAGTTTAGGTCAAGGCATTTCTAAGCTGCTGTTTGTTTGTATGACAATATGAACACTGTTCTAGTTCATTTGAGAACGACTGTACGAATATTAAGGTTTGTGTCAAGTGAGTAAGAGTATGACTCATTCAGTACATATAGACAACTTAGATTTTATTGATTATTGACTAGTTAATATGTATGATATTATTCAATAGATGTCAGATGGCTGTATTGATAGATTTCTCGTTAAGTATCGATCAAGCAATTTTAGATTTATGCTCGCTGGAAGGGCGACCTTTCGCAGTAAAAAATATGTTGCTGTTTTTATTTGGTGCATTCAATTGAGAGTTACAGGGCGTTAAAAATTGAAGTGAACAAAGAGAAAATTCGGTATATTTTACAGTTTTTCTTTGGCAAGTACTGTAACAGCCAATTATGTGTAATTTCGAAAATGTTAGCTAATATGTTAGGAGCTAAAAATCGAACATAACTGTTATAAACCATTTACACAAAAAATAATGGATTTCTTTTTCCCCAAACTAATATATTTTAATGCACAGAGGAGTGGTCCCATTTTTCAACATTATACAGTCAGGGTTTAAATAGTAGGTGGAGCAATCTTTAGTTCAAATCGGAATGTCCATTCGCATGACGTTAGAAAATTAATCTTCAGCAAAATTCGCACAATTGCATATTTTCAATCACAAACCATACTGGAAAATAAAGAAGATCTTCAACTATTGCAATTTTTGGAGTATCGTGCCCACCAATCGTTAAAGTACTGTTTCGAAAAAACGATTTTAATATTTGAAAGACACTCTTGCAGTCACTTGATGACAATACAATAAATCGACGGTTTTTTAAATTTTCACTTGCATTTTAAAGATACATTCTTGAGTAGGTTGACATTAAATATAAATAAAAAATCCAATTTTTGACTAAACTAAGAATAGAGAAGACTTGTATACATATACGTTGCGAGTATTTTGAAATCGACATGCCCACATTTTTGTTTTTAAGAAACATGAATTGTGGCTAGAGGTGAAAGAATCAGATTGCCAAAAATCTAAATTTCCTGTCCGATGATTTTTTCCTTATAGGGCCTAGTAAAGAATTTAAACCCTAAGGAGTATGTTACGACTGCTTGATGAGTTTTTTCTTTGTCTTATTGAAAATGCCGTGATATGTCATAGACTGCAATAGTCAACTGCAAAAATGTAAACAGTTTACAAAATGTGTGTTTAAAAAAGTAACAACCACTCACATACATTTCTACTTTTAAAAACTTTTAATCATAAACTGTAGTAATCTATTGCTATGGTAATAAAGAACCGCACATTCAACGACATCATCAGAATCACATAAGTCCACTGAAACTCTGCTTCAAATGTGTTTTACCAGAAAAGACCAATGGAAACAATAATATCACGAAAATGCACAACTATGAGTAGCACTCTGTGGCAAAAATTGCAAAGTACCCATGAACACACATACTCATATATATGGGATTACGTATGGAAAACTGTTAAAAAGCCCCACTTGAGTATTTCTCATTTCGTGGTTATAAATATGCCAAATAGGGGGAAATTGCAAAAATTTGTGAATTTTTTCCACAGTTATTTCTTTTTATATCCAGGCAGCAGCAGTCAGCCACATGATAAGTACTTCACTCCGCTACAAGAGTGAGTGGCTATTCAACGTTTTTGTTCTTGTTCTTGTTTTTTTTTGCTGTTGACTACTTGACCAAAAAATCATTTTATGTTACCATTTCGTGCGGATTTCTGATGGGTAAAATCCCCAAACAAAAGCGAACGAAGTAAACCAACAAACACCATGGATACGTACGCTACCCCTATGAGCAATGGGGGTATGGCTAACATGAAATAAGATTGGAAAATGCATTGCGGTTTATGGGATGGCCGGCCATGCATTATTTAAAAGTTGGGTACACTTTGGGAATTTGCATTATTTCGCGAAAACCAAACTGTTGGCTGTATTGCTGTGGCCCTTCGCCCAATATCATCATGTGAGTTCCTCAAATACTTGAAATTTAAAAATGAGCAACGTCCTCCATTGGTGATGAGAACGATGATGATGTGCCCATTCTGCTGTTGTTACTTTTCGTTGTTTCGAGTGAATGATTAAACTCCGCTTGTTAAATGTACACACAATATGTTACGCCATTTATTATGGAGATTTTTTATTCCGATGGTTGAATTTTGTTCTCATTGGCATATAAAAACGTTTAATTTTCACCCTAAACCGAATATACAGCTCGGTTACCACCACTATGAATATAATTTTCTATCCATGAAAGTTTTGCAATATTATTCGAAACTTTTTAGCATAGCTGCTGAATGAGGTTTTTCAAAACTATTCCAAATTTAATGTTGAGAATTTTAGTGGAAATTCATAAAATTATTTTTATGTGGAAGTAAGAATACATTTTAACTAAATGAGTAATGAATATTTTTAAGGACCAAAAATTGGTAGATTTTTTTTTTAATAATTTTTAAAATCCAATAAAGCGTGGTGTTTAAAGACATTTTTAAGATCCACTAAAGCTTAGTCGTTTTAAAAAACATTTTAAAGATAATTATAACCATTTAAAGATTAATATAAAAAACCTTGGATTTTTCAAAGAATTCAATTCTAAGAACTAAAAAAGCATGTGTTCTTTTAGAACAAAATTATGATTAATAAAACCGGGGGTTTTAAAGAACACACATATATTTTTAAAGCCATAAGATCAGATTTTTTTTAAAGAAATCGTTTTTAGAACCACAGAGCTTTGTCCGTCAAAGCTTGGATTTTTTATTACTTAAGGAAGTTCTTTGAAAAATCTACTCTTTATTGGATCTTCATTAAAAATTCACGATTTTTTGTTCTTAAAATAAAAATTCTTAAAAAAATCCACTCTTTGTTGGGTGTTAAAATAGTCCACGTTTTGTTGGTTATTCAAAAAAAAAAAAAAAAAATCCTAAGAAATCCACCAAATTGTTTAAGGAAAAAACATGAAGTTTTTAAGGAATATTTTTTAAAGACCTATGAAAAGAGGATTTTTAAAAAGATTTTGGACATGTATTTGGTTTATCATTTAATAACACATATCCGTACCAAAAATTATTGATATTGACCCACGTTTAAGGTACCACCATAATATGGTACCCCTCAATGTGGAGATTTTGAAACGTTTTTCAATCAAATTGGCTGTAATTTGGTATTTTTGGTTCTCAGGTATCACCACATCTCCGCATTAAAAATTATTATTATTATTATTGACCCAAGTAGGTATTTTCAGAATTTTGTTCACGTTTTTCAAACGAATTGTCTATAGTTTGGTATTTTGTATTCTCCTTGGCTGTCAAATCGTACTAAAGCCCCCATATAACGGTAGCCCCAATATTAGATTTTTTGAGAATTTAAATCTTTTACTCACGTATTTTTTTATATGTTTAAGGTGCTATCATAACATGAGTTTTCTCCTAGGAGCCCCCATTGATGTTAGATATTTTGATTGTCACCCTCATGGTGGAAGGTATAAAAAGTTCGGCCGGGTCGAACTTAGCATCGTTTTTACTTGTTTAGTCTATCCGCGTTTATAACTACCTCCTAAATTACGGTATTTTGGGGAGTTTGGACACACGTTTCATCCGAATTCGCTGTAATTTGATATTTTGGATTTGTATTGGATGTGAAATTTCATGACCAAAAATTCTCAATAT